TATCAAAGCTATAGCTGAAATTTTCTAATTGCCTATAATCATGCTTATACTCAAAACTTAAGTTTATTTCTGAAGCTAGTTACATGATAAATGAATAATAAAGAAACTCAGGTGACACTGGGTGCAGCTTCTCTACAAAGGTTACTCCCTGAATTATCTGTTAACAAAATTTCAACAAATACAAAGTATAACACAGTTAATACTTCCAAACATGCACAGGATGGCTTCTGAGAGTTCTTACATGGGGAAAAAAGGACAGTGTTCCCTGAAAGCAATTTCCTTACCTCCGGGACGTTCATGCGCCCCATCTGTGTGCAGTAACATTGCAATGGGCATTCCAACATTTTTTGACCTTCCAGCCACAACCACATTCTTCCCTAAGGTTGGAATACCTATAAAAATATATGTATTTACATTAAAAGTAGTGCCAGTCCAAAGCAAAACAAAGTCAGATGGCCTAGAACATGAAGCCAATTTTGATAGTGAAGTCACTGAGCTTAGTGCCTCATCAGTCAACTGGAGCTGTAACTTGCTACACATAAGGGCTAAAAGAAAACAGGAGAAAGCATACTATAGGCTACAAAATGTTACAGGAATGTGCACTGTCACCACTATTAAATCTTAAATTTCCTTCACTGAGGGCTGGGGTGGTGGCTCACACCTGTAATCCCAGCAGGAGGTTGGATTGTTTGAGGCCAGGGAGGCTAAGGTAGGAGAATTGCCTGAGGCCAGGAGTTTGACCAGCCTGGCAGCATGGTGAAACCTTTGACTCTTAAAGATTAAAAAGAAAAAAAGAACGTTTCCCTCACCGAGGCTTCCAGATTAAAAGCAAAAACTGTCATAGGCAACTGTTAAGGGCAGGCACGATGGATCATGCCTCTAATCCTAGTACTTTGGGAAGTGAGGGGGTGGATCACTTGAGGTTAGTTCGAGACCAGCTTGGCCAATGTGGTGAAACCTGTCTCTACTAGAAATAAAAAAATTAGCTGGGCATGGTGGCGTGTGCCTGTAGTCCCAGCTACTCAGGAGGCTGAGGCACAAGAATCACTTGAACCCAGGGGGCGGAGGCTGCAGTGAGCCAAGATTGCGCCTCTGCACTCCAGCCTGGGTCACAGAGCAAGACCCTGTCTCAAAAAAAAACAAAAAAACAAAACAAAACAAAACAAACTGTTAAGAGAGGTAAACTCTGGGGAGTATGACTAGAGGATATGGGGTGGGGTTTCCACTCTTTGGGACTGTATTATGAGTTTTTACCATTTGCAGGTACTACTTTTATAATATTAACAGACATACAATTCTGGGTATACCTACCAGTTCGCTTAATTATTTCCCAAACACCCCATGGGGTAGCCGGTAACATGGAATACTGGTCCAAACACATTCGCCCTACATTAATTACATGAAAGCCATCAACATCTTTGTCTGGAGAAACAGCATTGCAGATCCTTCTCTCATCAATATGCTCTGAAAAAGAAATCGGCAGTTGCCTTAAATCACCACCTCACAGTCAGCACTGCCTGACTCCAGCTTATCTGCTTCCTCAAGGAAATCCATTCTTCTACAGCTTGCCTCCGAGATGTACTTCATCTGCATGGAAGGAACTCGCATAAGCAAAGCCAAACACCAATAGCAAAGCCAATATCATCTATCAGTTGCTTCCCTCCACTGTCCTTTATATCAAGACCACAATACTAAATCAAGGGGTAATGGGTATTCTGAGTTGGTCTGTCCCATTCTAATAAAATATTCACTCTTTTGCATTTACTTTGCCTTTAAGCCAAATCCACATGAAGAGCCAGGTGTATAAAATAACAAGGCCTTTTTACTCCTCAGAAATCATTTTAGGTAGGGCATGGTAGTTCATGCCTGTAATTCCAGCACTTGGGAAGCACGGAGTCCAAGACCAGCCCAGGCAACACAGAAAGACTTCCATTTCTAGGAAAAATATAAAAAGTAGCTGGGCATGGTGGCACACACCTATAGTTCTAGCTATGTGGGAGGCTGAGGCAGGAGGATCCCTTGAACCCAGGAGCTTGAGCATGCAATAAGCTATGATTGTACCATTGCACTCCAGCCTGGGTGACAGAGTGAGACAAGGAAAGGAGAGGGAGAGGGAGGGGGAGGGAGAGGCAGAGAGGGAGGAAGAGGAAGAGAGGGAGGGAGAGGGGGAGGGGGAGGAGCAGAAGCAGCAGCAATCATTTAAATGGTAGAGTCCAAAACTCACCTGGAAGAGGCAGCTGAACAAGGAGGCCATCTACATTATCATCATTATTCAGTTTATTGATTAAATTCAACAATTCTTCCTCTGAAATTGAAGCTGGTTTCACAATTGTCTCACTGTTTATTCCTATTATAGGAAATTTTGAGGTTAAAAAAATTTTTGAGGCATTTAATGAGCACTGCTATGTTGCCTACCATACTTGGCTACCATACAGGTTTTGTATCATCACACCCATCCCTAGAAGCTGAAGTAGCTCAAGCAACCTAAAAAAGTAACTTCACAAATATATACACTAGAGAATACTAGCTTAACACATCCTGTATACCTCATTCTATGCAATCCTCATTAACCTTATTTTACAGACAGACTGAGGCTCAGAGAGATTTAAAAATAAGCGAGCTAGGCCAGGCGCATGGCTCATGCCTGTAATCCCAGCACTTTGGGAGGCCAAGACCGGCGGATCATGAGGTCAGGAGATGGAGACCATCCTGGCTAACACGGTGAAAACCCGTCTCTACTAAAAATACAAAACATTCGCCGGGCATGGTGGTGGGTGCCTGTAGTCCCAGCTCCTCAGTAGGCTGAGGCAGGAGAATCGCTTGAATCTGGGAGGTGGGAGTTGCAGTGAGCTGAGATCTCACCACTGCATTCCAGCCGGCTCAACAGAGCAAGCAAGACTCATGTCTAAATAAATAAATAAATAAGCGAGCTAATAATACAGCCAGTCTTTCTGGTTTCAAAATCCATGTTCTTTTTTTCTGCACCACACTACCTCCCAATGTCTTAAAATGCCATGGCTTGGCCAGGCACAGTGGCTCACGCCTGTAATCCCAGCACTTTGGGAGGCCGAGGTGGGCGGATCACCTGAGGTCGGGGAGTTTGACACCAGCCTGACCAACAGGGAGAAACCCCATCTCAACTGAAAATACAAAATTGGCCAGGCATGGTGGCGCATGCCTGTAATCCCGGCTACTCAGGAGGCTGAGGCAGGAGGCGGAGGTTGTGGAGAGCCGAGACTGCGCCATTGTCCTCCGGCCTGGGCAACGAAAGAGAAACACCATCTCAAAAAAAAAAAAAAAAAAAAAAAAAGCCATGGCTTGCCATTTTCTAGAAGTTTCTAAAGGCTTTCCATTAAAAGAGCAGGAGGCCTCAATCCTCAATGGTAAAGAATAGAGGAAACCACGGGCTCACAGGCCAGTAACCCCTCCCAGCCATGCCAGTGGTTTCACAGCCCTTCAGAAGGAAAGGCCACCTGCTGCTCATGCTCAGACCACGGGCCCACAGATGGGCAGGCAGAGGCATATCTGAGTCTGCCCACCCACCTCTTGTCCACAGACACATAGTAATCTGTGGTACCATGAGGCCTAGAACACAAACCCCATCATCCAGACCCGAACTGCTTCTAAACTGCACGTTTGGCTTTAGAACCAATCGGTGAAGAACTTGAAAGCTCTTTCCCAGAAGTCAAGAGTCATTTCCTTCAAATCTATGACTGTGTTCCTGACCTCATCACTGAGATCTCCTAATACTGTATTGTTCAATCATGCCCCCTAAGCCTCTAAGGCTTTAAACTGCAAACACTCAAACACCTCTGCTGGAGACCCATTATTGCTCAAGGAAAGCAAATGTAAAATGTATTCAGGGTCACCTATCAAATGGAAAGACTAAGAACAGAACGTGCCTTATATTCTTTCCAGAAGCCACAGAGAATACCAACCAGTAAGTATCTCCTGTCCTAGTCTATAAACCCCGAAAGATACAGTCTGATTTCCTATGACAAAGTTTTGGGATACAGTTCAATCACATTAGCCTCCTCTGCTTGGGTTTCCTAATCAGAAAAAAGAAATCATAAATTACAATGGACTTTGCCTCATATAAACCTCAACTGAACAGCATTCGAGGTCTCAAAAGGACACATACCCACATCTGCAGCTGCCCTGGTTTTGTTGAGGACGTAGGAGTGACTTGCAGGATTCTCGCCAACCAGGATCACGCTCAGGTGTGGCCGCTTGTTGCCTGAGGCCACCCACTCTTCTACCTCCTGCCGCACTTCCTGCTTGATCTCCTGGGCCAGTTTCCTTCCAGAAATGACAACAGCTTCATTTCTGCAGAAGGCAACAGAGTCACAAAACCAAATAACTTGAATTTTTATAAAAACGAAAATTCTGCCAGGTGTAGTGGCTTATGCCCGTAATCCCAGCACTTCGGGAGGCCAGGGCGGGAAGATGGCTTGAGCCCAGGAGTTTGAGACCAGGCTGGGCAACAAGGCAAAACCCCTGTCTCTGCTAAAGAAATAAATATATCCAGCTACATATGGAGGGGGATAAAGTTGATGAAGCTCAGAGTTTAAGTGACTGACAGCTAGTGCTTGGTCAAGCTGAGTCTCACATCAGTTTGGGCTCTTAACTGCTACACCACCCTGAGCCCTGATCATTACTAAGTTTTTTACAGTTTTAATTTGCAGTTGTGTGACCCCTCACCATGAGGTTAAATAGTTCTTCTTATCTGCTTATATGCCATTTGTAGTTCGTGTTTTGCCCCTGTTGTTAGCAGCCAGGCATGTATTTCAAATCATTTCCCAGTCAATTGACTTCATTTTTATGGTGCTTTTAAATAGATAAATTATATTCTGTAGTTGAATAAACAAACAATATCAGGCCAGGCGTGGTGGCTCACATTTGTAATCCCAGCATTTTGGGAGGCTGAGGAGGGCAGATCACGAGGTAAGGAGTTTGAGACCAGCCTGGCCAACACAGTGAAACCTCGTCTCTACTAAAAATACAAAAATTAGTTGGGTGTGGTGGTGGACGCCTGTAATCCCAGCTACTCAGGGGGCTGAGGCAGGAGAATCACTTGAACCCGGGAGGCAGAGGTTGCAGTGAGCTGAGATTATGCCACTGCACTCCAGCCTGGGTGACAGAGCTAGACTCTGTCTCAAAAACAAACAAACAAACAAACAAACAATATACTGGACAAGTCAAACATCAAAATGAATACCACTCCCCGCAGTCCCTTCTGGGGAAGACTTTCCTGGTAAGAATAGGGGCAGGGCAGGGCAGGGGACTGGAGGAAGCTCCTTCTCACAGTTGGCAATGTGCTCTTCCCAGGGACCCCACCACATCATCCAAAGCTGACAGACCAGGAGTGAGTATCTGACGCCAAGGGCAACCAACAATCTCTAGGCTGCCCAGTGGTCCAGTTGGTGCAAAAGCTTAGCTCAACAGAGCAGTGAGAGTTAGCTGAACCAGTAAGAGCTCGTCCCTGAGGCAGTTCAAACTAGAACCACAGAACATAGACAGAAAGAAGAGACAGAATAGTCACACCAATGGGAGACAACAGGATAAGAAATCAACAAACTGTTTCTGGGGTGGGGAGCAAGAAGAAAAATCAGGATCTAGAAGAACCTCCAGTTCCCAAAACCACGTTCAGCTGTGCGAAAGGCTGTCTCTTCCCAAAGCGAACAGCTTATGCAGCTCTTCCCGGGTTCCATGAAGCCCAAATATGGAACAGTCCCAGTTTTCCTATTTTCACACGTCCTTACAATAAAGTGCCCATTACTTAAAGATGAGCATCTGGCCCAGCGCGATGATTCATGCCTGTAATCCCAGTACTTTAGGAGACCGAGGCGGGTGGATTGCCTGAGGTCAGGATTTCGAGACCAGCCTGGTCAACATGGCGAAACCCCCTCTCTGCTAAAAATGCAAAAATTAGCTGGGCATGGTGGCGCATGCCTGTAATCCCAGCTACTCGGGAGGCTAAGGCAGGAGAATCGCATGAACCCAGGAGGCAGAGGTTACAGTGAGCTGATATCGCCCCACTGCACTCTAGCCTGGGCAACACAGGAAGACTCCATCTCAAAATAAAATAAAATAAAATAAAATATAAAAATAAAATAAAATAAAATGAGCATCTCTTCCGTAAGTAAAATGATCCCATTTGAAAAAGCCTTTCCCTTTAGATCTCTGTCCTTGCTGTCATGAAGGCTGCTCTAACCTCAAGACCAACGAAGCAATCTCCTCTTTATTCTAAAACCTAACATCGAGGTACTGAATAACCTATAGGGTCAGATAAAATTAATTCTCAAGATAACTGCTAATTTATTTATTTATTTATTTTGAGACAAGAGTCTTGCTCTGTTGCCCAGGCTGGAGTGCAGTGGCATGATCTCAGCTCACTGCAGCCTCCCAGGTTTATGCAATTCTCCAGCTTCTGCCTCCTGAGTAGCTGAGAATACAGGCACCCACCACTGCACCCAGGCAGTAACTGCTAATTTAAATGGGATTTTAAAGCATTCACAATCTTTAGGCCTTCAATAAGTGCTTTTTATTGCATTATGATTAAATACCAACTTTAAACCAAATCTCAACATCTTAGATATAATGCAATAATCTTATATCTAAACTTAATCTTAATCTGTATTGCATCTTGTGAAGTATTCAGTTATTATAATCTGGCTGGGCATGGTGGCTCATGCCTGTAATCCCAGCATTTTGGGAAGCCAAGGCGGGCATATCACTTGAGGTCAGGAGTTCAAGACCAGCCTGGCCAACATGGCGAAACCCCACTTCTACTAAATATACAAAAATTTGCCAGGCATGGTGGCAGAAGCCTGTAATTGTAATCTCAGTTACTCGGGAGCTGAGGTAGGAGAGTATCTTGAACCCAGGAGGCATAGGTTGCAGTGAGCCGAGATCCCACCACTGCACTCCAACCTGTGTGACAGAGCAAGACTCCATCTCAAAAAAAGAAAAAAGCTATCATAATCTTAAGCAAATCAAATACTTTTACCCAGATTTTACATAATGATACTAGCATGGCACAACATATAATAGCATTTAATTATACCCATGGTATATGAAAAAATTGAAAACATATTAATATTCACAATTCCATTTCAGAATTAGAGTCGAAGGGGACTTCATTAAAAGGGTTTTGCAGGCTGGGCGCAGTGGCTCACATCTGTAATCCCAACACTTTGGGAGGCCAAGGCGGGCAGATCACGAGGTCAGGAGATTGAGACCATCCTGGCTCCCATGGTGAAACCCTCTCTACTAAAAACACAAAAAATTAGCCAGGCATGGTGGCACACACCTGTAGTCCCAGCTACTTGGGAGGCTGAGGCAGGAGAATCGATTGAACCCAGGAGACAGAGATTGCATTGAGCAGAGATTGCCGTGAGCAGAGATCGTGCCACTGCACTCCAGGCTGGGCAACAGATAGAGACTCTGTCCAAAAAAAAAAAAAAAAAGAAAGAAAAGAAAAAGACAGTGGGGGGTTTGCTGATACAAATATACCTGGCAACATTCCTGATTTATATTAGTACCTGGAATGCCCACCGCAGGCCAAAAATACATTCCTAATCCTGGAACACTACAGAGTCAAAGACTACTTTAAAAGGGCTTAGAACAGTCATTTATATTGAATGAAATAACAAACATATATAACGTGCCAGGCATATATGTTCAATAAAACTAATTTCTTACTCTTTTCTCTTCGTTTTGTATATATGTATATATACGCACACATACACACATATCCTTAAAATATACTTACACATACTCATAAGGAGATATATATAAGTATGTATACTATATGTATATATAAATACTCAGTGAGAATGACTTAGCTTGCACCTCATAAAAATTTCTTTTGAAAGCAGTAAACTTAGAGAAAATGGTATGAGCACATTCAGATAAAATCATATACTAAAGTTAAGGACACAGGGTTCTGGGAAAAGCCAGTGTTCCAAGTCCCCAACTTTGCTTCCAAAAGCAGGTTCTTGATGTTATGCCAATTTGCTTAAAAAAAAAAAAAAAGAAAAGAAAAAGAAAGAATGAAAAACAGTCAAAGAGTAACAAGAATCAAAAACAAAGTCACTTGCAATGAGTATCTTTCATAGTAAAACTGTCAGCCCTCCTCTGCTTCCCACAACTCTGCAAAATGTGAAATACAGCCTTGGGAGTGAGTCATTAACTAATTTAGCATCATCTCTTTTGCCAAGGGGCAGATTAACTGCTACCCCAAAATAAACAGGGAAATGGAAAGTCAGCTAAGTCCCACGGGGAATCCAAAATTGTAACTATATTAGCTAGCGGTTATCCCAGAATTAAATGCGTTCACAGATGTGTTTAGAAAAAATTCCCAGGGCTGGTCATGGTGGCACAAGACTTGTAATCCCAGCATTTTGGGAGGCCAAGTTCAAGCCTAGCATGGGCAACATGGCGAGACCCCATCTCTACTAAAAGTTAAAAAAAAAAAAAATTAGCCAGGCATGGTGGTATGCTCCTGGGGTCCCAGTTACTCAGGAAGCTGAGGTGGGAGGATCACTTGAGCCCAGGAGGTCAAGGCTGCAGTAAGCCATGATTGCACCACTGCACTCCAACCTCACCAAGAGAGAGATTCCCCTGCCAAAAAAAAAGAAAAATACATAAAAAAGAAAAATTCCCATTAAAATATGTAATCAACGGAATAGGAAGAAGTCAAGAGGACTGTTCAAATAAAATCCAAAACTGTGGCTCACGCCTGTAATCCCAACATTTCAGGAGGCCAAGGCGGGTGGATCACTTGCGGTCAGGAGGTCGAGACCAGCCTGGCCATCATGGTGAAACCCCGTCTCTACTAAAAATACAAAAATTAGCAGGGCATGGTAGTGTGCGCCTATAGTCCCAGCTGTTTGGGAGGCTGAGATAGGAGAACAGCTTGAACCCAGGAAGGAGGCAAGAGGTTGCAGTGAGCGAAGATTGCACCATTGCACTCCAGCCTGGGCAACAAAGTGAGACTCCGTCTCAAAAAATAAAATAAAATTCAAAACTAAAATCCAAGTGAGTAGCATCTTCACTTTCCTTTTAATTCAACAGCTTACAGTACTGTAATTTTCCATGAGAAATTAGTATCAGGGCATTTTACAATTCATAATCAAGTGATTTAGGGAAGAGTTGTTATCAATTATTAATGGGAAAAGTAATGAGTGAAGGAAGACACAAGGGAAAATGGAACAAACATCTATTAAACACTAGGTGTTTTGCTTAGACTTTAACATATATTACTCTGTCACCTTGGGACTATTATAATAACACTGTTATACAGAAGATGAAACTGAGGATAGTAGAAACAAGATTCAAAGGCAAATTCTGCCTCTAAAGTCCATTGACTTCATAACCCCAGTCTCCTAGGCTACAATTTCTCCAACCATAGGTTTATGTTCCTGAAACTCTCATACCAACCAACAAAGAAAAAAAAAAAAAAGGAATGCAGACTCATATTTTCAAAAAGATACAACATTTTAAAAATAAGCAGTATTTAAAAATAAGCAGTATTTTTAAAAATAAGCAGTAGTAAGAAGGCAATATGTGGGAACTGTAAATAGCAAATGTGCAGTACAGATAATATGGATTGCTTTCAGAGATGTGGATGAAGCTTACTGTTCTTTCTGAAAGGTAGTGAAAAGAGCATTTGTTATTGGAGAGTGTTGCCAAACTGGCCCAGTTCTTTAGTGAGTGAGAGCATCTTTATAAATCTCTTTTGGACCATGGAAGCCTAGGAAAGGTCTGGTCCACAGTCACATGAGGCCAGCACTCAGGAAGAGAGGGGGAGAGAACACACAGTAACGAAAGATGGGGGAGGTCAGAGTCAGACCAGGGAAAACCCTGAAAGTCCCCTCCTACGTCTTCCTTCAAGAACTCATTGCTCCAACAAGCAGCGCCTTTGAAATATTTCTAACAGCATTTCTGCACTGACTGGAAATTACACACGTGTTCCGCCTCTTGTCAGGAACATGAGCTCCATTAAAAACAGTTTTTATCTCTGAATTCGCAAAGCTTGGCATAAAAAAATGTCTGGCACACAGTGAACGTTAGATGAAAAAAAGAAGGGGCTGATGTCATAAGGTGCAGGGCTCTAACAATGCCAACAATGCCAACGCTCTAATGACCGACCAAATCACCTTCCCAAGGAAATCCAAAAATGCAAATAGAGCTTTTCCTTTCCTCCTCCCGGGTATATTTTTCCCAATTTGTTACTGTGGTAAAATTCACATAACCTAAATCTTACCACCTTTTTTTTTTTTTTTGAGACAAGGTCTCGCTTTGTCGCCCAGATTAGAGTGCAGTGGCGTAATCATGGCTCACTGCAGCCTCGAACTCCCGGGCTCAAGCGATTCTCGTGCCTCAGCCTCGGCGCGTGTCACCATGCCCGGCCCATCTTAACCATTTTTAAGTGCAGTTCTGTGGTATTAAATACGTTCGTATGTTGTGCAACCATCAGCATCATCCATCTCCAGAACTCTTCATCTTGTAAAACTGAAATTCTGCAAGTACCGCTGAAACGTGGGTACTTGTCACCCTCCATTCCCCCTTTCCCTAAGGCCCTGGGTGCCTCCTGGGTGTTTGTCACCTCTCTGTACGCAGCCTGGTACTGACCGGCTCGGGTGGGCTGCAGACAAATCCAGGGTGTCCAGAGTCGGTTCACGCTCCGGGCGGAGCGGCGGCAGCGCGGGCCACTCCCACTGCCGGAGGGAGGAGGGCGGCGCGGGGACCCCAAGCAAGTCGGCTCCGCGATTTCATCAGCTGCAGCAGCGCCCTCCGCCGCTAGGGTCCCTGCAAGGGACAGCTCGCCGAGGGCTGCTCTTTTGGAACCCTCGCCTGCTCTCCCCCGGACGACTCTCAGCCAGGCGCGGCCGGCAGCTGTCGAAAGGCCCCGCGTAAACC